TGGTCTGCACCATGTTTTTCAGCTCTGACATCTGGTCATCCTATGTTGGAGCTGTTGCCGGCTGGGTAAACTGACGCTGTTGCTGAAAAGGCTGCCCCAGTCTAGGATGATAAGGCTCCTGCTGTGGGAATGGACCCTGTCTGGCCTAGAAGGGTTGCCTTTGCTGAAAGTCACCCGCTCTATCTGGGAAGCCGGGAGGCTTGGTGTTGTTGATGTTCCAGGAGAAGTTGGGGTGCTTGCGCCACCCCTCATTATATGTTCCACTGTAAGGATCAAGGCGCCGAGCATTGGCGATGAAGTCCAACTGCTCCTGGGGTGTAGAAGACTCCCGCATAGCCTAGCAGTCTTCCACCAAATGGTTCGAGCTCTCACACCACTAGCACTGTGCAACCGAATGGCCGGCCAATCCTCCGCCCGGAATGAGACTGTTGGGCTTCTTTAATGTCTGGACCAGCTCGGCCACCTCCCGTTCAAGCCCGGATCTAGCCTCCATAGAATGCACACCGCGATCCCGGGAGTTCCTGCCTCTAGTGCTCTGCCCCCAAGAGTGATCTCTAGCAGCCAAAGTACTGATCATCTGATTTAGCTCGGGTGGAGTCTTGGTGAGAATGTCCCCTCCTGGGCATAGAGACTCTATTACCCTCTGGCTCTCTGGAGTTAGAGCACTGTAGAAGTTCCCCACTGTGAATGCATCACTAAAACCATGATGGGGAAACTTCTAGAAAAATCCCGAGTCCCGCTCCCAGGCATCACGTAGTGACTCATTTGGCTCCTGGCAGAAATGAGTGATCTCTCGCTGAATCTCCGTGGTCTTCGAGGCCGGGTAGTACCTGTGCACAAACTTGTCGGCCAGATCATCCCATGACGTGATGGACAGTGGAGGCTGGGTCTCTAACCACCTCTTTGCATGCCCCGCCATAGAGTGGTGGAAGAGGTGAGGACAAATCGCATCATCTGGCACACCATTCAGCTTGAACCCATTGGTAAGCTGCAAGAACCGGGAAAGGTGCACCCTCGCCTCTTCATCCTTGAGGCCATGGAACTGGATGGAGGATGTGATCAGTTGAATCCAACATGGCTTGATCTCAAAGTTATTTGCTGGAATGAGAGGATACAAGATGACAGGGCAGATGTCGGCGACCCGCGGAGTGTAGTATTACCTCATAGTAGGACCCGACGGGGGTGGTGGATGTTGAGCCCCATCTGGTTGGGGAACTGGGTTATTGGCCAGAACCTGATTCACTGGGGGAACCTGCATGGGCATCCCCAGGGGTTGGTTCTGCCCCAGGTTCAGGTTCACCCTGTTGTGCTCGTCGCCCATTTCATACTCCTCTTCAGAGTCGTTGCTCAGATGGCCGTCGACATGCACTTCCTCCGTAGCCAGTCTTGCTCGATGTTGTCTCCTAAGCTGATGACAAGTGCGTTCTAGCTACGAGTCTAACGGTAGTAAGTCTCCGAACTGGCTACGGGTCATACACTACGTGCACACAGTCCAAGCAAGCAAACCCTTGAAGGCACAAGTGGGACAGAGCAAAACAATCAAAGCGGAGAAGAAATTCTAAAGTAATAGAAATCACCTTCCTTCAACAACCTAGCCGTCCCCGGCAACGACGCCAAAAACTTGCTATGACACAACTCCTAACAAAGGCCAAGTGTAACCAATGAAAGGGACTACAGTATAGTGGCTCAATTAATAAATATTGAATCCACGAGTCTCTAGAGTTACTATTACCCAACTTTAGTTCATTATCTAGCAAACCAGATTAAGATAGAACAACTAAAACTACTCTAGCAAACTACAGTTAAAGTCAATCTAATTACAGGTTGGGAACTCACTTAGGTATGATTCCCCCTAGCCACTAGCCAGATTAATGATTGATGATCTCTAACATGTTTCACTTTCATTCAAAATGCGGAGAGTCCTTAACTAGACCTTGAGTCTCGACTAAAGGAACAAGGCCCTCTTGAGTCAATTGCCAAGAGGGACGTATCCATCTCTAGAATAACCGATCAAGGCGTTCTAAACTAGATTCCCTCTATCGAATGAGATTCTCAATCGATACAAAGTAGTGAACCAACCCTCGACTAAAGAAATCGATCCAATACTATCAATCTATGGTGCATTATTGACCTAATCAGGTATTCGCTCTCATAGGATCAAAGCATAATCAATAATCTCGACTAAAGCAAAATTGAATCATGAAAACATGCATAGATTGAATATGAACTCAAGATTATCAAGTAAGAGTACTCATACTATCATCCAATCAAACAAACATGGCTAGGGTTCCTCAAAACCTAAGTGAAGGGAAGTTACTCCATAGAGAAGAGAGAGACTGCAGTAAGAATCTTCAGATGATCACTCTTCAAGTTCAGGCTTGTTCCGCGAAGTATAAGTAAAGTGTCTCTCCCTTTTTTTGGGCGGTCATTACGGTGGGCGCGGTTAGCAACTCTTTTAGCTGCTCAAATGCCTGATCACATTCTTCCGTCCACTTGAACCGCGATGCCTTCTTTAACACCCGGAATAAGGGCGCGCTCTTGTCTGCTGAGCGCGGAATGAAGCAACCTAACGCTGCTAGGCGCCCGTTCAAACTTTGCACCTCAGTCGGGGTGCGTGGAGGCTTAAGCCGGGTTATCGCGTCCACTTGCTTTGGGTTAGCTTCAATGCCTCTTCCCGTGATAATGAAGCCCAAGAATTTCCCAGCCTCGGCGCCGAAAACACATTTCAAGGGGTTGAGGCGCAAGAGTGCAGGCACATGGTCTCGAATGTCTCGTATGGCCGCCCCTCTTCTTGCTCTTGACCACCAAGTTATTGACATATGCCTCTATGTTACGCCTGATTTGCTTCGCGAAGACTTTGTTCACCATATGTTGATACGTGGCGCTCGAATTCTTCAGCCCGAATGTCATTACCTTGTATCGAAACTTACCGAATGGAGTTATAAACGTCATTTTCTATGTGTCCCCCTCGAACATTGGTATCTGATGGTACCCGGAGAACATGTCTAGAAAACTAAGTGCCTCGTGGTAGGCGGTCGCGTCCACCAACTGATCAATCCTTGGCATTGTGTATGCATCTATGGGACATACTCGGTTCAAGCTCGTATAATCGACGCAGATTCTCCATTCACCGGACGCCTTAGGCACCAACACTACATTGGAAAGTCACGTCATGTACTTGGCGTCCTCCAAAAACCCCGCCTTAAGCAACTTGTTCACCTCTTTGCGTAGTGCCTCCTCCTTCTCTTCCGAGATCGGCCTTCTTTTCTGTTGCACAGGGCGCACACCCTTCTCCACCGCCAAGCGATGTTCCGGGATTTCGGGCCTTATTCCCAGCATCTCCTTCGCACTCAAGGCGAACAAGTCCAAAAATTCCATTAGAAGGCGCAAGAGTGGCTCGATCGCGTCGTCGGGGGTGTGCGCGGAGATGCAGACACATCTCTCGGGGTGTTCTTCATCTAGGGCACTTGCACCTCTGCGTCCGCCGCCTCTGCCCTTGGCAAATCTTCAGGGCGTACATCAATGTTGTACATCCACATTCTCTTGGCCATCCGCGCCTCTTCCGACGCCTCTCTCCTTGCTATCCCGACTCCCTTCAGGGTGATGAACTTCAGAGTCTGATGGCAAGACGAGGCTACCCCGTTGAACAGTGCTAACAGTGATCGACCCAAGATCGCGTTGTACGGTGAAGGGCAATCCACGATTCCGAATTCCACTGTGTGCGTCACCCTATGCTCCTCGTCTCCCAACGTAAAGGGAAGACGAATGCGCCCTAGTACATGCGCGGGCACTGTGAAGAATCCTATGAGGGCGGTCTCAGTGGGTCGCACCATGCTTGGTGACAGTTGCATTTTTTTGAACGGTGATCTAAATAAGACGTCCATGGAACTCCCGGTGTCAACCAACATCCTCTTGACCTCGCAGCCAGCAACCCCCCTATCTCCAGTGCCTCAACGAAAGGTACCCTGCATGCTTCCTACGCCAGCTCATTGAAACTGATCTGGATGGCCATCTTAGCGCTTGTTGTAGCTGACTTCATGCGCTACCCTCCTCCAAATTCTGCATAAGGTCCACCAAGCCGGTGATGGCCTCTATCGTCTGTCTTACGCGCCCCGGATCAACTTCTGGTTCTACTTCAAAGGGAGGCGGGGGTAGCTTTTCATCTTCCTTTAGTCCTGCGCCCCTATTAACCTCTCCTCCTTGAGGCGCCTCCGTCTTTTCTTCTTGCGCCATAAACATTCTCTGCGTCTTGTCCTCCCCCTTCCTCATGAACTTGTTCAACATCCCCCGATCCACCAGCCCTTGGATCTCGGATTTCAGCTGATAGCAATCCGCTGTATGATGCCCCCTTTCTTTATGGAAATCACAGTATCTATCCATGTTTTGCTCATTAGGGCGCCCTCCCATCGGTCCCGGACAACAGAGATGGTACCATTTTCCCTTCGCATACTGCAATACGTTTTTAAGCATGTCATTGAGCTCCGTGAAATTCCCCGCGCCTCTTGTTGATGGGTGAGGCGCATCAACCTGCCGCGCATAGGTTACATAGGGAGAGCCCGCAGGAGCGCGCACTGAATGGTTGCTCTCCCCTTCCTCAACTCTACCCTTCCTTCAGTCCATGCGCCTTGCTGCATTTTTGCACTCTTCGATCGAGATTCTCGGTGGTTGTCACATTCCTCTTTGAGAGCGCCCTGCACAACTCTTCACTCGTCGTGCACTCCTCCAAGCAACTTCCCAAGACCGAGGCTTGACATCCTTTACTGCTATGGCAACTGACATCCACCGCTCGTAGAAGTCCCTTAGCGCCTCATTTTCCCTCTGACGCACTTTAAATAAAGCGCTTATAGTGAGCGTCATGCGTTTCCTACTTGCAAATTTGGACGAGAACATAGCGACGAATTGTTCGAAGCACTCCTTCCCTCCTCTATCTGATGGTACCAATCCAAGACCACTCCGGTGAAGGTGGATGGGAACTCACGACACATAGTAGCGTCCGAGCTTCAATAAAGTTGCATCTTGGTGAAGTAGTTGTTTAGATGGTCCTCCGGATCAGTTGTCCAATCATAGGTTGACAACGCGGGAATGATGGAAGTGGCTAGTTCCGAGAGGATTCTTCGAGCCAAGGGCTGTCGCACGCCCCATCTCCTACCCATGCGCCTTTGAACCCATCCATTGTGCTCGTCAAAGTCCGACCCCAAGTGCCTAGTCAGATGTCCCATCTCCTCTGTTCGCCTGACAAAGCTGGAGGCCCCTTCCCTGTCTTCTTCCCTTTCCCTTCGTTTCGAACCCGGAGTAGGCAGTGCGCCCCCTCTCCTCTTGAGCGCCTCGATTTCCTTCTTTAGTATTTCCAACGTCTGGTCTTGGTTTTTGATGATTTGCACTAGCTCCTCCTTGCTGAGAGATGCGCCTTCCGACTGCAACGTCCCCTCCGCCTGCGGGCTCCCATTCTGGTCCTCCCCTTCTTCCGTCGTCGGTTTACTCATGGCCGCCTCTGGTGGCTCATGCTCTCTGTTGCTTGGCGCCTCCATGCTATCTTGGTTATATTCCCTTTTCTGGTGGGCCAATTGTTTGAGCCAAGAACTTCACTAACGTTGCCATACGCCTCCTTTATTCGCCTCGAATCAAGCATGCGACGCCTCTTGATCCACTCCTACGGGATGCCTGCTACCCTGCACACAAAGCGCCTAGCGGACCACCGAGGCCTGTTAGCACTCCAACGCTCAAGTCAGCAATCTACTTTATTAAGAGAGAAGTGGAGAGAAGTTTAGTGAGAGAAGATCTGAACCGAGTAAATGAGGTTCACCTACTTCACTATTTATACTATGAGCCTTGCCCACCGTTGCCCTTCAATTTCGCCTTACGTCATCCCAACAATAAATGCATTGTACTGTTTCACAACTATGCGCCTCGACCATCTGACTCCCCTGTTAGAGGTTCAGGGGCGCATGACTTCATGAAGTCAGCTTTTCGTACATTTCTGATCGTTGTGTGTCCTTTGTCTTATGCGCCTTCTGTCAGCCATCGGGATCCACCTGTCTGACCTGCCACCAGACTTCTTGGGCTGCTCTTAGTGCACACTTATGCCCATGCTCAACCTCTCTGTGGGCTTCTTTGGGCCTCCTCGCTTTGATTATTGGGTTCCTCTTTGGGCCATGTCTACACCCCCAACACCAAGGTTGGAGATGATAGGAAGAATAAAAAATAAAACGATAAGCAATAATTCCTCATCCTTACGTAACGTTTAAGAGTTTATTTGTGGTATTACTTATAGGTAAGATAACCTCCTTTTCTTGTTAGCTATGTCTATTACTTTTTTTTTTTAACATGACTATGTCTATTACTCATATCCACATTTCCTTACAAGGAGACACACCATAACAGAAGTATGTGATTAATATTTTCTATATTTTGGGTCATAACGATTAATGAAGGCAAAATAAATTGAAGATTTTACCCAATCTCCTTAACCATGGTTAACCAAAATCAGCTGACCATGGTTAGCCTTATTAGCTTACACGTTTCAGAAGGAAAAAAACGAAATTTCCTCCAACCTTTTATTTACTTATTTATACCCAAAATGACTAAAACAAAATAAAAACAAAGGAGAAAATTAAAAAAAAAATTAGGAAGAAGAAAAATCAATAGAAAAGAAGAGAAAGAAAGAGAGACTATTTTGCCGAAAATACATATTTCGCCCCCTCTGATTTCTCGTCTGTTCTTTCCGATGCTCCGCAGATTGGTCTCATCAACCTCTGATTGATTCTTCACAGCTCGAACAAATTAGCTTAAGAACCCCGGTACGCGAATCGATCTTCTGCTTCAACTTCATTGCCTGAATATCCAATCCTAGCACTCGTTTTTTCTCTGAATCTTTTTGTGTGTACGCCATCGCCCACTGGAATCAATTTTTTCCGTCCTGGGTTTGAGCTGGTTTTTTGTTTGTTTTACACTTCTCAATCGATCAATCGGGTTGTTGATTTGAGATTGCTGTTCGAATTGAAACAGTCGATGTTGGGATGTCCCGTGTTCAATGGGACTGGGCAAGTTTCTGATTGCATTGCTCATCAGTTTTCTATTTCTGGGCACTGTTGGAATTTCTCTCATTTCCATCGCAATTTGGGATTTGATGATGAATTTTGATTGATCATCCACTTACTCTCACTGGGTAATGATCAAGTGGAAAATTTGACTGTGGTAATGAGTTGAGTCAGCTCTAATTAATGCCTTCCATGTAGTGTATGATCTGATATTGCTCTTGTGCTGGTATTTAGTTAGATGCTTGGATTGTAGGTAATGAATTTGTTTTGATAGACTAGATGATTGAATGGGGTTGATGATTGTATAATTGATGGTCACCTCAACTCTCTGGATTCTGCAGCTTAAAACAACAAATGGCATCAATGGTTGCTAAGGCCAGTAGTAGTAAGGTATCTTCCTTTGTATCTGTACAAGAAAAAGGGAGTAGGAATAAGAGGAAGTTCCGTGCTGATCCTCCATTGGGTGAAGCTGACAAGATCATCCCTTCGCCCCAAAACGAGTGTCCTAGTTACGAATTCTCTGCCGAGAAGTTTGAACCTACCCCAGTTCATGGTCTGGCGAGTGCATGTGATCTGTGTGGTGTGAATCAAGATCATGCAGATGGACTGAAGCTGGGGCTTGGGTTATCTACTGCATTGGGTTCAACCGAGGTTGAGTTGATTCAGGCAAGGGAGGAACTAGAAGAATCCAGTGATGCTGATTGGAGTGATCTCACGGAATCCCAATTGGAAGAGCTTGTTTTAAGCAATTTGGATGCAATATTCAAAAGTGCAATAAAAAGAATCGTCGCCTTTGGGTATGTTGAAGAAGTGGTTACGAAGGCTGTCTTGAGGTCTAGTGTTTGTTATGGATGTAAAGACACTGTATCAAATATAGTGGATAATACCTTAGCATTTCTACGAAATTGTGAGGAGATTGATCCTTCTAGGGAGCACTGTTTTGATGATTTACAGCAGCTGGAGAAGTATATACTGGCGGAATTAGTTTGTGTGTTGAGGGAAGTTAGACCTTTCTTCAGTACCGGGGATGCAATGTGGTGCCTCCTGATATGCGACATGAATGTTTCTCATGCCTGTGCAATGGATGGCGACCCAATGAGTGGTTTTGCTGGTGATGGATCCCAGTCAAAACCCGAATCTGAAGGTTCTGAATCTAATGTTATAACAACAACCCCTTGCAAGCCAGTGCCATCAATTCCTTGCTCTCCAAGCACCAGTATTCCTACTGGAGTTTCCCATGCAATCAGACCGAAGAATCCTGGTGTTGTCCTTAATGGTCTATTATCGGACAAAGAAGGATCAATTACTTCTGCATTTGATCCTGTAGATAAATGTTTCAGCATTGCAGGACCATCACAGTTACCTGTACTGGAAGAAAGGTTTACAGTTAGTAGGAAGGTCCATTCCGGTAGCAGCAAGAGAGAGTTCATTCTCCGGCAGAAATCTGTACATCTGGAGAAAAGCTACCGTACTTATGGGTCTAAAGGTTCGCTGAGAGGTGGGAAATTGAGCGGGTTAAGCAATTTAATTCTAGACAAGAAACTTAAGTCTGTCTCGGATTCCACTGCTGTTAATATAAAGAATGCTTCCATAAGATTGAGTAAGGCTATGGGGGTTGTTGATAATAACCCTCAAGATGGTGGGGAATCCGGGCCTTCTTCCTCAGTATCATTTACTTTGGAGACTCCCAGTACCGCTTCTTCTTTACCTACCCATATCCCTTCTGTATTACCCTCGGCCAATGCCTCAACTGTATTACCTCTGGTTAGTGTCACATATCCTCTATCAACTGCAGACACCGAGCTTTCACTTTCACTCCCTACAAAGACACCGAATTATAGTTTTTCTGGAATGCCGTGTGATAATAAGCCAATGGCACAGTGGGTTCCTCGAGACAAAAAGGATGAGATGATTGTGAAGCTTCTTCCTAGGGTTAGAGAACTGCAAAATCAGCTTCAAGAATGGACAGAGTGGGCAAACCAGAAGGTTATGCAGGCAGCTAGAAGGCTGAGTAAAGACCGGGCCGAACTTAAATTGTTGAGGCAAGAGAGAGAAGAAGTCGAACGGCTGAAGAAGGAGAAACAAACTTTGGAAGAAAACACCATGAAGAAGCTAACCGAGATGGAAAATGCCTTGGGGAAGGCCAGTGGACAGGTAGAGAGAGCAAACTCTGCGGTCCGGAGGCTCGAAGTGGAGAATGCTGCACTAAGGCAGGAGATGGAAGCTGCGAAGCTACGTGCTGTTGAGTCAGCTACCAGCTGTCAGGAAGTTTCTAAGAGGGAGAAGAGGACATTGGTGAAGTTTCAGTCGTGGGAAAAACAGAAAGGAATGCTTCAGGAGGAGCTTGTGTCTGAAAAGCGCAAGGTCTCACAGCTACTGCAGGATCTCGATGCTGCCAGACTACAACAGGACCAACAAGAGGTATGCTTCCTTTGTTGTTTTTCTCCAATAGTTTTTGGCAATGAATGTGATGAAGTGCTCTATCACCACCTCACGCTGCCCATACTTGCATGAAAAATAATACACGGAAACAAACTTCTTCACTTACGGTTGTTCACGAGTACAAAATTGCATATATGATGTAGTGAAGAACACTTTAAGGCTCCCCCACTGTCCTGGTCTTTCACTGCAGTGTTTGTAACCTGAGGGTTCATGCATTTTTCTTGTGTTCATTACTCTGGTCATTTTTCTAATTCTTCAGTGAAAGGCTCATGATTAGATGCCGGTGGCCTTATGGTTTCAGTAAAACCAGAATGCTTGAGATTGCAGTACTTAGGGCCTTACATATTCTTAGGTCCTTTTTTATCACTGAGAAGAATAAAACATCAAATCACAGGCTAGATGGCAACAGGAAGAGAAGGCAAAGGAAGAGCTTCTTTCCCAGGCCAGCAAAATAAGAAAAGAAAGAGAGAAAACTGAGTCCTCATCCAAATCCAAAGAGGACATGATCAAACTAAGAGCAGAAACCAATCTGCAAAAATACAAAGAAGACATACAGAAGCTCGAGAAAGAGATCTCCCAGCTCAGACTTAAAGCCGACTCATCAAAGATCGCTGCACTCCGTAGGGGAATCAATGGCACTCGAGCTCCCATGGACATCAAAACCAATCCTGCCTCCCGGAAGGAGACGAACCGTTCCAACCACAGTCTTCCTGAAGTGGTCATCACCGCTTTCAATGACTACTACTCGGACAACGAAGGTGTGAAGCGGGAGAGGGAGTGTGTGATGTGTCTCTCGGAGGAGATGTCGGTGGTTTTCCTGCCGTGTGCTCATCAGGTTGTCTGCACGAACTGCAACGAGCTGCATGAGAAGCAAGGGATGAAGGACTGCCCTTCTTGTAGGAGCTTCATCAAGCGACGGGTTGCAGTACGTTATGCTCCTTCCCACTCTTAGTATAGTTATGATGGTGATTTATAATTTGATTGATTGTATTGAGTGTGTTGAGCTTGACTATATGAGAGAAAAGAGAGTTTATAATAGAGTTTTGAGTGGCTTTTTGGAATAATGGTTGTTTGGGTGGGGACTCTTTTTTTTTTAGTTTGAATAATCTTGGTATCCTGATGTTACTCTATAGTCTACATACCCTTTCAAAGATATGCAGAAAGAATTTCTCAAAAAGAAAAAAAAAAGAAAAAAAGATATGCAGAAAGAGACCAAAACAAAAGAAGAGAAGATAACTGGTTGAAGACTTGAAGTTGGCCTAAAGATATGAAAGTTTGATGATATGATACTTGTTCAAGAGCGGCTTTCAAAGTCTCACTTTCACAAATAAATTGAAAAAAAAAAAAAAAATTTGGAACTAGAAAACTTCAACCAACCCTACAGATTAGGACAAAAATAAAAAATAAAAAGGTAACTGTAGTTTGTCAGATGGTTTAGCCAATTAATATCTTTTAACTTCCACCAATCATCCATAAGAATTTAATTTATCACCAATCTTATCTAATCATGAATATAGTTCAGCAATTTTAAGATAAGGTCATCAATACTTGATCAAATATTATTATCTTTTTATCATTTATCTTTAATTTTAAATAAAATACACTTGTATAGCCAAAATTTTCACTTTTTTACAATAATAGCCACTTTTGGAGAAATACACAAAATAGCCAATTCTGTCTAATTTTTTAACGATGTTAGCTTGCTGTCTGACTGGACTAACGAAAAGGCTGACTTGGCAAAACTTCTGTCAATAAATATTCCACGTGGATGAATGAAAAAAATAACAATTAAATAATTTTTTGAGAAGTTTCCGTGCCCTTCTCACTACCTCTTCTCCCTCTTCGCTTCCTCCACCGCAATTCTCTTCCTCTCCCTTTCCTTTACTCCACTTCGAAGTACCCAAAACTCTCATCGCAACCAGCCTTTCTCCTTCTCCAACAGGCCTGAAAAGTAAGTTCTGGGACATCGACACTTGACTCCATTCCTCTCACAGATAATAACCCAGTACCCTGCAAATATATATGGGCACTGGGCCGTGCTTGGGCCGGCACGGGCATGCTTCGGTTCCATTTATTTCGTGTCGTGCTTGGCACGACTCTTCAGTTTTCGTGTCGTGCCATGCAAGCTCATTTGTTAACTTTGCTAGGCCCAACCCAGGCCCGGACACGGTTCGAATCATGCCGTGCCTATTCGTGCACGTGCCATGCTCGTATTCATGTTTAATGAAAAGGATCAAAACAAAAGAGAGAATGAAAAAGAAAGTGAAAATTGAATGGAGAAAGATAGTATTAACCGATAATATTTGAGAAAAGTAACAAATAAGGGGAAAAGAAAATTGGAAGTATAGCGAGTGTGATTTGACTTTGTTTAATTCTTCGTCCATTTTTACTTATGGTAGTGAATACATATATATCCTTATGACACTTCTAACAATAACAAATAATTATTTTTCTACTTTTATTTTGTATTATTTGAACCTATAATTCTTTGGGTATGCCTACTATGACATGCATGTCACCGTGACATTGACTTTTCGGTCTACCTAATCCTGAAGGCGGTCGACCGCACCTAGTTTAAGTTGTTATTTTTGGTCGACCAGAATAAAACCTCGGTCGGCCATTTCGTTGGCGTCAGAAACAACATGGTCGACCGAAAAGGCATATAGGTCGACCACTTGATGGCAGTCATTAACAAAATGGTCGACCAGATAAGGAAAGAGGTCGACCAGATAGAAGATAAGTGTTCTATCAATCTGTCCAATAATTTGACGTAAAATGAAGATCAAGTGTTGGTTTCGAGGTCGACCTAATCCGGTACGAGGTCGACCGAATACAAGAAAGTCAACCTATGCCCCGTGTCTTTTTTGCTTATGTATGTCGATTTGTGTGGTTCTTTTGCTCGTATAAATAATGTTTCAAACCATCATAAATAGTCATAAATAATGATAACAAGGACTCATCCATTCATAGCATAACAATTAAACAAACTAACAAGAAATTCAATAAAACAGAAATCATAATTGTTCACACATAAAAAAAAACTAAAACATCAAAATAATAATCAACAATCGTTTTGACCACTTAACAATAAAAACATACAATCTAAAATCTTCGAGTTCCTACTCATGTCCCCTCTCTCCCTCATCCACATTTTCTTCATTGGTGGTGCTAGCATGATGGTGGTCGGATGTGGTGGGATGTATATATCTTCCGCTGAAAGATCGCCACTCATCTCGCATCTCATTCACGGTCACTTGCATTGTGCTCATCTGGGCGGTCATTTGCCCCATGTAGTCGTACATGCCAGTCATCTGGGTGGACATCTGGCCCATGTAGTCGTACATGCCATCCATGCGCTCCTACACACGCTCTAAGGTGATCGGTGGAGTTGAACTCTGTGCCTCCGACATTGGCTCGTCTCCGGCTCCTTCATCACCATCATCATCCTCATCATCATCATCATCATCATCATCACCACCATGGGCACCATGAGCATTGATTCGGACATACTCACCATTACGCAGCTCAAAGCCCATCTTTTTCAGAGATGAAACTGTATAGAACTCTGCCTTGAGATCTTTAACCCCACCTCACCACTTAAATTCACATTAAAATTCTCAAATAGCAAAGTGAGGATCATCCCATAGGGAAGATTCTTGTTTGAACTCTCTGCAGCAGTAAGCATGTGGTTAAAGATCAAGTATGACAAGTTCACCTTCTCGTCTAACAGTAGGTTGGTGAGGAGCTCCATGTCGAAGTAGGTGACTGTCTCCCGATGTCCACCCTTTGGCAGAATGTTGTAGGAGAGCATGTGGTGAAGAAATCTGGCTTGAACTGTCAGGTGGTTACTCGTTGGCCTACTGCGACCTTGAGCATCTTCCTCTTCATCAAGACCACATACCGTCTGGATTTGCTTGGCTCTCGAGAAATGAGTTTCATTCCAAGCAGCGTAAGAATTGATTCTCTTCCCCTCGTTTGGAGCCTCTAGTACTTGCGCCAACACATTCTTGCTGATGCGCATCTCCACCCCATTCACATAGATTTTAAATGCATGAATGGATCCATTTGCATTATGCTGATAGGTGATGTTGTTGTAGAAGTACTGTACCATTTTTGGGTAGTATTGTACATTCAGAGATATCACCTTCAGCCACTCTTGCTCGGCAAAGGGTCCTAGAAACCCGTAATTTTCGAAATGAGAATACGCATCCGTCGTCAATGGCCTTCCAGGAGCCACCCTGCGGTTGTGCATTCTCTTCTCTTCATAGTTGTCACTTTGCACCTTGGTCTGGAACAGATTGGGATTGAACTCTTCCCATTCTGAACTTGAGGCAGCAGCTTTTTGTGACTTTCTTTTCTTTTCTTTGCCAAACATCCTGCGATCAAACAAGCAAGAATACATGTTAGTCACATTTTCGAAATGAACAAAACGCGGTCGACCACTCCATAAAGCGGTCGACCTCAGTTAATTTAAAACGAGAATGAGTCGACTCAAACCCGTAACAATTGGAGTACAAAAAACAATAGGTCGACCTCAATTGAAGCATAGGTCGACCTCGGAAAATTTAAAACGAGCCTCTGAATGGACCAAATGCTTAAAATGTTGAGTGCGAAACAGATTAGGTCGACCTCAAAATTATAACAGGTCGACCTCAATAAGTTTAGCACAAATAATTCGTAGGAGAATGGCAAAACTCGTATTTTTGCCTTCATAGGTCGACCTCAGAAGCATCATAGGTCGACCTCAGCAAATTTGAAACGAGTCTGAAATGACCCAAATGCTTTTAATGTTGAGTGCAAAACAGATCTGGTCGACCTCATAATTTCAACAGTTCGACCAGAGTTAGTTTCGCACAAATAATTCGTAGGAGAATGGCAAAACTCGTATTTTTGCCTTCATAGGTCGACCTCGGCTAATTTGAAATGAATCTGAAATGACCCAAATGCTATTAATGTTGAGTGCAAAACAGATCCGGTCCTCCTCATAATTTCAACAGGTCGACCAGAGTTAGTTTCGCACAAATAATTCGTAGGAGAATGGAAAAACTCGGATTTTTGCCTTCATAGGTCGACCTCAGAAGCATCATAGGTCGACCTCGGCTACTTTGAAACGAGTCTGAAATGGCCCAAATGCTATTAATGTTGAGTGCAAAACAGATCCCGTCCACCTCATAATTTCAACAGGTCGACCAGAGTTAGTTTCGCACAAATAATTCGTAGGAGAATGGCAAAACTCGTATTTTTGCCTTCATAGGTCGACCTCAGAAGCATCATAGGTCGACCTCAGAAAATTTGAAACGAGTCTGAAATGGCCCAAATGCTTTTAATGTTGAGTGCAAAACATATCCAGTCTACCTCAAAATTTCAACAGGTCGACCAGGGTTAGTTTCGCACAAAAATTCGTAGGAGAATGGCAAAACTCGTATTTTTGCCTTCATAGGTCGACCTCAGAAGCATCATAGGTCGACCTCGGCTAATTTGAAACGAGTCTGAAATGGCCCAAATGCTTTTAATGTTCAGTGCAAAACATATCCGGTCGACCTCATAATTTCAACAGGTCGACCAGGGTTAGTTTCGCACAAACAATTCGTAGGAGAATGGCAAAACTCGTATTTTTGCCTTCATAGGTCGACCTCAGAAGCATCATAGGTCGACCTCGACTAATTTGAAACGAGTTTGAAATGCCCAAATGCTTTTCAAGCTATAGATATAATAAAAACGCAATAACTCGTAGCAAAACGTCACAGGTCGACCTCAATATCATCACAGGTCGACCTCATTCCATAAAACACAATAATGGATCGATTGGAAGTCAGATTCGGTCGATCACGAAGATGACAAGGTCGACCGAACCTGACGAACAGAATGGAAAATCCCTCTTTTCAAGCTATAGATCTAAATAAAAACCCAAAAACTCGTAGCAAAACGTCACAGGTCGACCTCAATATCATCACAGGTCGACCTCAGTCCATAAAACAGAAGAATAAATCGATTGAAAGCCAGTTGCGGTCGACCACGAAGATGACAAGGTCGATCGAACCTGACGAACAGAAGGGATAATCCCTCTTTTCAAGCTATAGATCTAAATAAAAACCCAAAGACTCGTAGCAAAACGTCACAG